GAGCTGTATGCCAAAATCATCAGTATTAAAACAATAAAATACCTGAAATATTTCAGTTGGTGTGCAATGAATCTAAAATATATGAAAGTTTAATTTGTATCATTACATTATGGAAAATAATGAACTTTATCACAATATGCTAATTTTTTGAGAAGGACCTGTATTATACAGGTTTGCAAGGCCCCACAAAATGATGCTGTTTCCAAAGAGGAGCCAGCAGGAGGCGCTTTAGGAGCGACAGAAATAGCGGTTTCCTCTGTAACGGCTGTACACAAAGCAGCGCAGCGCTCATAAACGCTGCTAGGAAAGATAAAATAAAACATAACATCGAAACTCTTCTTAAGACAGTCAGTTCCCTACAAAGATCCTTTCATATTAAAACACCCGCGCCGCGTTTTGACTGAAACGTGCAGTGCTCATGTTTATTCCGTCTTCACCGTCACGCCAACACATACAGCTGTGCATCACCACAAAAAGGGACCCTCTCAAACAGTGTCGCGCAGCGTTACGAGCGTTGTTTAAGCGACATAAACTGGTATTGCGGTATATAAAAAATTTATATCATAACAACAGAGCATACGCGGCAAAGCTGCTGTGGATCCCCTTACCCGGAACTATCAGTTAGTGGCAGATTTTAAAGAAAATTGCGTAGTTTGGGAAATAAATAAATGACTGAGAGTTACATACGTATTACTAACATTATATCATGTAAGCTTTATGATACACCTCAAAAAAGGGAATTTATTGGCTTGGGTATGCAGAGCATTCGCAGCTTATATGGACCACACGCCACATATATATACATTTATTTTTTCTTCATTGGACGCGTGCGAAATAAATTAGTGATTATGTCTACACTGAACGAGTCTGTCGTTCTCATATCTTGTCTCATATCTGTGTAAAATCACAGATCTAATTACCTTGTGGCATTTTGTCCTCAACAATGTTAAATGTAATAAACATTTAGCAAAGGAAAACCTCAAGGTGTTTATTATAAATAAAGTAAGACAGAAACTTTTTCCTCAGCTGTAGGCAAAGGCAAGCGTGTTTCAAATCAGTGCTTCTCCCGGGAGACTAGCGCTAAATGAATCCCCTATTTTAGCGCCATCTACTGTTTCAGAAGAGGAAGTTACTCATCTGCATTTGTGAGAAAATCTGCCTGGACGCATTTGTGAGAAAATCGAGCTGAGAGATCTCACAATCATAACAGACAGATATGCATTTGTATTCACTAGATTTGGTATTTGTTCAAAGGTTACATGCAATTTGTAGGATGGTTTGTATTTATTTGTGAAATATTATCAAGGATCATTTATTTATATTTGTAAAACACAATATTGGTTACTCCACTGCATTTTCGCTCAAATTGACCTTTGTTTTTGCAAATTGCTTTCTGTTTGTTTGCGAGTCGAGTTTTCCTTTGCAAAGCAGATCGAGTTTGTTTGCAAAATGCTGGATTTGTTTGTTTAATTTTGGCACATAATTCGCTCCATAGCCGATCCTTTACCCGAGCTTTGGATATTCCGGCAATAACAAAACACACGAATTTCAGTCAAATTTCAGAAATAACCAGTAGCGGAGTGCAGTCGTATATAGAGACTTAGGAAGAGGTTGCAACTTTTAGACTGCACCTGGACGTTTCTGAATGGTTAGTGGATACATTTATGTAGTTGTTGTTGTGGAGTTACATTGATTCGTCTAATCGACTTGTATGTACCGTCATGTTAACTTTACACAAGTTAACACAGTTCCCTGAGGTCTTTATAAGACAGCTGTGACATATTTTGGTCAAATAGTGTTCTGTGCTTGTCTGTTTAGCCAACGACAGAACCATTTGCATGCTTTGCTCGAACTTTTGCCATTGCGTTAGAACTGGTTACACTGTTGTCGCTTGCGAAAACCAAATGGGTGGAAACGTGCAGATTAAGGGGCGGTAATATTATAGTAAGATCCCCTTCCTACGTCAGAAGGGGAGTGAAATCTGATCAGCTTTTTTTTTTTGACATGCTTGTAGAGAAAGGCTTACCAAAACAAAGTTAATGGGTTGTCACTTTTCACGTTTTCTGGGTTGGTAGATGTAGATGCACCGGGGACCCGATTATAGCACTTAAATACGGAAAAAGTCAGATGTTCATGATATGTCCCCTTTAAGTAATGGTATTAAATAATTGTGATTTCAGTATTGACCAAAATTATTGTGATCGTTGAATCATGATTTCTAGAGGTATTAAAGGATGAGGAGTTCCTGGAGGCTGTGACCAGTGCTCTTCGCTCTCTTCTACAGATCATGGCTACCAAAAACATCCCTCAGGTCAAAACCACATTCATCATTTTTTATGCTTTAGTGGAACATCATTTCAAGCTTTACCCTGTATTTGTGTGTAACTGTGTGTGTTTTATGTGCTGTATCCTGCAGTGTATGACTCCACAACAGCTAATGAGTTTTTGTGAGGCTGCCACCAGCTGTGAGCTGGTCAGTGTGAGAGTTAACGCTCTGGCCATTCTCGGTATCACAGGAAGTTCTCTTGCCAAAGAGAAAAACACAGAAGACACTCTACGGGTAATACTGATTGTGGTAGAATTATTAGAATAACATTAGTCTTGTTTATATTGCCTTTATTATGCCCACAATAAATATAACATTCAGAAATTATTACCTTATTTTAGGTTAGAAATAATGATCAAATGTTAATTTTATAATATTTTAATTAAAAGATATTTTATTATGTTTTGTTTAATTCTGTTTTATTTATTATTAGAAATGGATTATTCATAGAGTAAATTACATGGAATGCAGTCTCATTTTACTAAATTACTGATGGCTACATTTACCACATTCTACAGTATCTTAGGACATAAATATATTTTGATTTACAAATGAATTGTATGATAAAATATGCCTGTTTTCCTGCCTTTTAATAAGTTAATCACTGAGCTAAGGTTTTGCAGTTTATTCTGCATTAGCTTTGGTTAGTTGTACAGCTAGCCTTATCTTTTTTTTTTTTGCAGCTGATTGGAAATGCATTACTGAATGTTGCAACAAAGGACACAAACCTGGTGGTGTGCGGGGAAGCGCTGGATGCCCTCTTCGATGTGTTTGCTGATGGCGATGAAGCAGAGACTGCTGGAAAAAATATTAACCTGCTTTCATCGCTCAAAGCTCTTCAGCCAGGGTTTAGGGCCAAGGTTTGTGTAAAGCCAACAAGAAATATTAGCCCAAATATACAAATGCATTCATGTTCGCACACTTGAGCTGTGATATTAAATCAGACAAATCTCACACCTCTAAATACAGGCTTGAGTTTAAGGTTCAAGAGCAACATTTTTGTCTGTTCTCTGAGATTGAGATCTCTTGCATATGCACTGTCATAAATAAGACTGTCCACAGAAAGGAGCACTGAAATCCAACTGAAAGGATCTGCCTTGGTTGGCTTATCTTAAAAGTTCCACTTTTAAACTGTAAAGTACTTTTTTTCAGCTGCTTTTATCAATTCACAGTCTGACCATTCACAACATAGACATTGCTGGATCTCTGTATTCTAGTATGTTCTTAGGCCTTTAGATGGCAGGCTTTTCAAAGTTTGGCCTTTTGTTCCCTCACAGCTGCGAAAAGAAGGCAGAGGAAAATACAGCCCTGATCAGCTTTGTGTTCTGGACAACATAAGGATCAACCTTAAGAGATTCATCGGCTACTTGGAGAACCTGCAGAGAAAATGAGGCTTCAGAGATCAGGAGTACAAATTCTCTGTAAACGGCTCGCCTAATTTTATTTCGCATTTTCTGTCTGTACTCTATGGTTTTCTTTTTATGCGAGAGTGTTTATGTGGGGAAGTTAAGATACAAAATTATGTTTGTAAAACCAAACATATAAGTGATTTAATTAAAGAATCACATATCATAATGGTCTCTTGTTGTGTTGTTGACACTTAAGAAGACTAAATTATTAATCTGTGATGTCTGTGTGTTTTTGACTTTTAATGTACACTCCCTTGACCATCAAATCTCAGCATTTATATTGAACTGAAAAGTGTGAGTGAAGCAATGTCATCCTGTCTTATATCAGATGCCCCTTTAACCCCTTGTTTATTTTCTGGCTTCTGGTAAGACCTGTCCACAGCGAGAGCATCTGTAAATGATAATGGATCAGTGCCCTGGGGTTACTTTATAAACACTGCAATGTTGCTCGCTCAGCTTCCCCTCTCACCCAGTCCGTCATCATGTGAGAACAACAAAACCCTTTTATGTATTGTTTTATGGCCCACAGCAACAGTAGATTATCAGATGTTTATGAGTTGTATTAGATCCCTCATAAACCTGTCTACATGAAAAGAAACATTGTCTTAGATGTTTGGTTATTTTGATAACTTCATATCATTAGCATGCTTGGTTAATTAGTTTTGCATACACTTTAATTTGTAGCAGTTCAGGTGGATGTAAAAAACAGCATATAAGATAAAAATATTTCTCAAAAATGAGGATACTGTATGATTGTCTCAGTGACCATTCACTTTATTGAAAATGATGGAATGAAAGTGAATAGTGAAAAGGCCGTCTCATAATGTTTTGCCTAACATCTGTTATGTTTCACTGAAGAACGAAAGGTCACATTTGGAACAACAGAAATTATGACAATTGTATTTTTTGTTAATTTTATTTTGTGTGGTAAAAAATAAACACTGGTCGGACCTGTTCCACAGTAATAATACTGTATTCTATTTGCGGACTCTGTTCCTAGTAATCTAATTTCTGTTAATGCATTTCAAAATAATCCAATTATAAGATGTCAGTGAGACCCCATGCACTATAGTGCTCATTGGATTAGCGCCACGCCGCCACCCTTTACGAGGTACGTACTTTGAAACATGACACAAGTGAGAGGTTCGTGTTACTACAATGTATCAAACCTAACTGCTGTTACGTAACAGAAACTAACGTGCGCTCTTGCGTAACACTCGGAGTCAGCGCGTCCCCGCTGCGCGCTCGCTCACGCCTGGCAGAGCATGCGCAGTCGCGACTTGGTCTGTCCGCCATTGAGACACACGATCTCAGATAGAAACGGGTCAGAGGCAGTGACACAGACGACACTCACGTTTTTCCATTCCTCGTGCTCTGAAGTTTGACGGTTGCCTAATTTTTTTAAACAGGACGTATTTTACAGTTCGTTTACACTGGTGTTTTTCTTTCCCGAGAGACGTTGATGGACCCGCACATGATATTTTAGTTGCTGTCCAGGGCGAGTGTGTTCCCGTTAGTGGGTGAAGCGAACCGAGCCTGGCTCTGCTCTGGGGGCAAGTGTGCTTGCAGCAGCTCAGCGTTTGATGGATCCTAGAATCGCCTGGTTTCAGCCAGAACAGCGCGGACCCGCCAACAACCTGTGGATGCACATCTGGGAAACGACACAGACGCTGGGAAACCTTTACTTTAACAACAACTGCAACACAGCCAGCGCCAAACTGACGAGCAGCGGCGGCGGGGACGGGGCGTCGAGCAACGCGGTGGACAGCAGCGGAAAGACCAAGGATCATCAGGGGATGTCTGGATCCAAACCCGACAGTGAGGTGTCCCAACAACGAGACTTTATCCCACTGGAAACCAATAACAATAATAACAGCAGCAGTAGGGCTGGCAGGGGTTTCGGCGGAGGGGGGCAAGTGGGTGGCAGTGGGGTCGTAGGAGTGGGAACTGAGTTGCCAAGCAAAAGGAAGAGAGACAACAAGGCGAGCACCTTTGACTTTAACAAGAGTCTGCTGCTGACGGATGGGGCGCAGGACATCTACACGGGCACACCGTGGAAGAGCAGAAACTACTCGGACGGCATCGTGGGGTGAGTGCAGACATGAACTTTATACGGTATGTGTGGGTGTAGTTAGGATAACCTCCTCGTTTCAGGGCCCGTTTGTTTGCTCGGATTCAGGAGCTGGCCTACACGTTTGACACTAAACTGAGGGGTGTTCAATACACGTTAAACATGTCATGACCTGATTTAAAAGGCTATAACAGCTCGATGTTGGACCTGCGGCCGTTCATTTACAAAAATAACTGTCAGGTTCTCGCAGGTTTACCAGTGGTTTGACATCCGAGCCGTTTCTTCTCCATATTTGGCATGTCTAGAGTATCCTTGCAAGTGCAACCCTTCCATTTAAATGACCTGCGCTGGCTTGTCAGCTGCTCCCTTGACGGTCCTCTAGTGCCCGAATACTTGTAAAATTACGAGTAGAACAAACTCTCTCAAAGTCAATAGTCTTAAAGAGAGAGTTCACCCAAAAACGAAACTTCTGTCATAATTTGATAAACATTTTTGGTCTTTTAAACATCTGTAGGTTATTTCTTCTGTGGAACAAACACTGAGACAGTTCTCAAAATATCTTCTCTTATGTTTCGCAGAAAAGTGACATACATGAGGATGATTAAATGATGCCAGAATTTTCATTTTTAGATGAACTATCCCCTTATATGGTGCTTGACGTTTTGTCACAAGCCTACATAAATGCATGGTTTCTGTCATAATGCCATCTTTACTACAGTTGTTGCTACAATAAAACTCAGGTTACTTTGTGTCAGTTTTACATGTTACACAGTTTGAAGGAGATCCCATGATTAGATATGTTTTTCAGTATAACATTTGGTGTTTTGGAGCAACTGTTGCCATGGTAAATGTTTGTGGGAATCAATTATAATGTAATGTGATTATAGAAGAATAGAACTAAAATGTCTAAACTAGAAGCTAAAGAATTATATATATCGGTGGATCTTTTCCCTTGCTTGCAGGACTTTATTCAATGAGACCAATCCCAAATGGAGAACTCCACTACTGTACTGTGAATTACTGTATGTGTAATGAATTAAATAGAGTTGCTGTATGTACTGCCTCTATTAATTGTTCTCTTCCTCTCAGTCACTCAGTCGGTCAATAATCTACACCTTGCTTGCACTTCACACTCTGGTTACTCAACGATCATAAGTCATCATGATGACAGACTTCTTTCCATGTTTCTATTGCTGTCATTACTGAGATTGCTGCAACTGTTTTTGATTAAACAGCTTCAAAAGTGTAGTTCATCACTTATGTCGTTTCAAACCCGTTAGTCTTCTGTTCATCTTTGGAACATATTTTTAATATTCTCTCATTGTTTTTGTCCATCCACAATAATCCATGTTACCACATTTTTCACTCTTCAAAAAGTGTGAAAAGTCATCATAAAAGTAATATATATGAATTGAACACAACACGATCACTTTGATGAACATTTAATTTAGGCTTTATTCATATATAAACATTGATCAGCGAACTAGAGCACTAATGAGGTTGTTCTCGTGTATCAGGCAAGCATGGTGGATTGCTTAACATCATTTACTTTTACAATTTTGAACTTTGAATGGATGGACAATAATGATGTGAGAATTGTAAAATATCTTCATTTGTGTTCTGAAGATGAAAGAAAGTAAATGATGATGGAACTCTTATTTTGGTGAACTATCCCTGGACTGATTAAAAGAAAATCAGTATCATGCTCTCAAACCACATTTTCCCTGCCCTGAACCAAAAAACATTAAATTAGGTTTTAAGGCAGTACTTTATTAAGGGCATTAAATGTCCATAAGCACATCTTCCAGTGTGCCAGAGAGGTCAATTGTCAAACTGTATGAACAAAGCATGTGGAAGTAGTGCTGGATTGTGTTTTCTGGTTTGTGTAGTGGTGTGGTGTTAGAATTAGGTGTGGTGGTGGTTTGGTAGGTTTTTTAAAAGTGCTGATGATGGCCCTGGTTTGTGATATGTGCAGCAGCTTGTGGAGCCCAGAGCAAAGTACAGCTGACAAGCCTTATCCACATTTATATAGTGTTCGTTCGCATAAGTGCGTTCCTTCCTTTGTGATTAATATTCTAGAGTTCACCTTATAGACTTTCTCACCTGATTCCCTCTTCACTGTTTTTCCATTTCTCAGATTAATGAACTCCTGTCAGCTCTGTCTTTGACGTGTGTCAATGTACAGATTTACAATCAGATCGGCTCACAATACAGTTTTGTATTTGGAGAGCATGTCTGAGATGATTTTAATCTTGTTCTGTGGAGGGATCATTTGTTGTGGTTTTTAGAAAACCAGGATGTGAAATGTGCTTCCTTCCTACAGCACAGAATATTTCTAACCTACATCATAGAAATAGTTTGTGTATGTCTTAGTTGGAGGCTAATTTCCCACTATAATCCTATCCGCTGTTCTGTTCGGAGGTGTGAGAAGAGAGACAGATGGTTTGAATCTGTGTGTGTGGAGAGATTTTTCTGTGTTTATATTCTCTGTGTTGAGTAAGTTCCTTCCCTGCTCTACCCAAAACAAATGCTCCCCCTCCCAGCTGACACACGATCCCCGTCTTTGTGATGTCACAGTGCTTCTGGCCAATCAGAGTGAGCTGCGATCCCTTTATCTGCCTGACAGCTATGCTGCAGTGAGAGGAGAGGGGAAATCCTCTCTCCACTCTGAGTTGTGCTGCTGCTGAACTTTTTATGTTGGGTCTTCAGAAGGTTTTTTTTAATATATTTTTTATATATATATATATATATATATATAAGTGAAGATGAATTCAGTGCACTGGTCTCTTCTTGAAGAGCACAGAATCAATGCAAATGTTTGTTTTTTTTGTTTTTTTTTACAAAGCTGTTTTTTATTCAGTAGGTGTTGCTGAACAGATGGTGGCCTGGCTTCATGTCTTTGAATAGTTGTTGATCTTGTCGAAAATTTAAAGAATTGGAAATTAGATACATTTTCTCATAAGGATTCTCAGAGGTTTATCACTGCATGCAGGTTTTTGTAATGGTAGCAGCTTGTTTTTTTTTTTTTTTTCATTACAAAAACTTAAGCAAAGTTCCTTCTGGCTGATGCTTTTCCTATTTTTAGCTCTGTTATGTGCAGTTGAGTTCAGACATATTCATCTAGCTGTCATTAGTTTAACTAATTAGGCATGAGGGAGGCATTGCAAGTTGGTTGAAGGGGGCTAAATGTAATCGAAAACCATCCTTTAGTGCCAGCACATGGGGTTTCCCTGAGAGGCTTTCAGTCTTTTACTGATTCTGTCACTAGCAGCAGGATTTGGAGTTGTGACTATCGTCAAAGTCCCTTTCAAGGAAAGTCTGTTCACTCTGCGGCCTTATTTGCAACGCCTCCTGGCATCTGTTTTGGGCATCCAGTTTTATCTTTTTGAATGGGGTTATCCTGAGATCTCAAAACTGCTTGCTGAAATCACGATTAAATAACATTTTAAATCAGCAACAAAATCTGACATGAACTGGCCCATAAATATTGCTTCTGATGCTCAAATAGCTTTACAAAGCTTATTTTTCAGGCCAGACCAACCAATGCACATTTGCAGTCCTAAGCAGGAGTCTCTGGTTACTATGGGAACTGGAGCTTTTAACAGCAACTGCAATGACGCAATGACTTTACGAGTCAGCGATTTGCTCTTTTATTTAGAAGGTGGGACATATTCTGCCATTTTGCGCGTTGCAGTTTGTCCCATTCATAAGTAATAGGAATGCACCATCTAGGGTTGTGCCGATGGTCCATCGTGATGGCTGACAGACATCACGATGTTAGACGGCATCGGCTAAACATCGTGTGTCCCGTTTCCATGGTGACGCGTCCTGCTTCGCACGTGATTCACCACAGCCAAAATAGCGCTGTATGACAGATTTAGCGCTTTTATTTCTAAATATTAACAAACTTGCTTACCATGTCATGAACTATCTTCTATTCCGATTCTCAAATATGTGTAAGTGAGTTTTTGTCGTTTAAAAAAACTTTATAAATTATCTTGATCTGTAACGTGAGATGGGCGCCGTGTTTGGGCCGCAGTTCAGAGATTTCTGTCTGTTGGATTTATTACAGCGCGTGAATTCACCAGTTTCTCCCGAAAAACATGAAAGTAAGTGGCCGGTGAACTGGGAGAAAACTTGAGTTGACATTATAGTTATTTAATGCTACACTGTGTCTCTCTGATATGAATACAAACCGTCGTCAAATATATTTGAATGGGTTGTTATTGCTGCTTCCATAGACACCATTGTGTATTTTACAAACTATAAATCTATTATTTTGCTATAGATTATATGTATTTAAATGTCTGAAACCTAAAATAAACATTATGTGGTTAACACTGAACAGTTGTGATATAGCCTATGACAAGCGCTGAGCGCGTCCGTCTTTGGCTCAGCGCCAGCCATAGCGCGAAAGCACGCAGTTTGAATCTGGCAGTGATGTCACGTCACTGTACATTCGCTCCTTAGTGCTCAGCTGCTGCATAGCTGCCGACATCGAAATTGCTGATGAGATATAGAGGAAAATATCTAGTGGAAAATGAGAATATTACGAAAATACCCCCCCCCCTCCCCCTCCCGATATCATCGTCCATCGCGATGTTTCACTGTAGACATCGTCTGATGCCAAATTGGTAGACATTTTCTATAGTGTCATGTGCTAGAGGAATGACTGTCCCAGACACCCTCACACACGATTAGACCACTCAGCAAGAATTCACCCTCGTCACAAGGGCACTTTCCCAGGGTGGTCTAAATGAACGGGATGATGTCAGAATGTGTTGCTCTTGTTTTTAGACCAGTGGCAGAATGTTTGGAATCTACATTGACATTTGAAACTTAAAAGCTTGGCTGTTGGTAAACTTTTATTAGTTTTAATCATGCCAGATCAAATGCTTACCTGCTGCAGTCATTTACTCACCCTTTCAAATCGCGTCGTTTCAAACTTGTAGGCTATGACTTTCTTCTGTAGAAGATATTTTAAGAAATGCATCAGTGTTTTTTTTTTTTGTCCATGC